AGGTAAAAATGAATTGCTACTGTTTAATTCTATCCAGAAAAAGATACTCTTCCATTCAAAGATGTAAAACCTTTATTTTTGCATTTGACTTTGCATGGTATTAAATAACCTCATAATTTACTTTAAATTATTGCATGTAGGATATTATTTTATGTACCTTACTCTGAGTCATTGAACAAAACCTTAGAGGAAGCGATATTTTTATATCCACACATTTTTACTAGGAGGCCATGTTGACTGCACAGAAAGAGGCAAATGGTGGTTAATGTGTATAGACTGGTGAGAAATATTTGTATTTTAATACACATTGCATTAAGTTTTCACAGCAGGAGGATTACGTAGAAAGTAATAGGACACTGTAAACTTTGAGAACAGGCAGTAGAAATTGTTCATCTTAGCCACAGCTAGTATTTGATGGCTGTCTGCATATTATAGTGTGAGATATACATAGAATAACATTTAAAACTTTTTTTGTTTTTTTTTTAAATGCATTGTAATTCTTTCCAGTTTGTAAAATGAAATGCTATATTGCTGTCAGGTACTCCCTTTGCTTTGAAATGGCCATGCTACCCGGCAGCCAAAGAATAGCTTGTACAGACTTACAGGGCTAACTGTGTCAAAATACAAAGTTTGCTCTGAGAAGAAGTAACTTTCAGTTTTTGATGAATTCTAATCAATATTTATTAACTTCCATGATAATGAAAAATGCAATGTGGCTTTCTCTTCACTTCTTGTTTTCCCAAAGATGCTTATACTAACACCTCAACTCATCATTTTTCTAAACCATGATGTGGACAAGTTGCCAGAACAACAAATACATTCATAGAAAAGTGCTACCGAAAATTGAAAGCAGAAATGAAAATACAATTAAAAAACATAATTCCATAAGTGACTTGAACATTTTACAAGAAGAAAGCTTCTAAAATTGTTGCAGACACTTTTTTCTTTACTGGGGAATACAGTAGTATCTCCCTGTGGTATTACTTTACTATCTGCCTCTTAGGTATAGATAGCTCTAGAAAAGGGACCATATTTCTCGGACATGCTTTCATCTATTCCTTCTGCTTTAGGTAGTTTTAAAATCAGAAAACATTTCTAGCATTCTTTCTACTTCGTGGTAGTATCTGCAAGGAAAACTGATAGCAGCATTTTTGAAACAACAATCAAAACCTTCCAAAGAAGCCACAGGAAATTCTAGAGCCCAGTTTTCTGTTAATTTTTCTTTATGTGATGCAGACTTCAAACTGCAGCAGTTCAGGAAGTTTTCAGAGAAACCCGGACGTGGAAAAGGGGGTGCCATTTAACCAAAGCAAATAAACGGGAGGAAACGAGTCAGGAGGGTGGGAGTGGGATTCGAAATCTGCTGCCTGGGATCTGGGAATGGCAAGTGAGGAGGCTTGGGCCGGCTCAGGGAGATCAGGAGGGGGCTTGGAAAAGTCAGCCTGGCTGTGATGGAGCCGAGATGCAGGATTCTGTGGTCCGTTTGCTGGCAGCAAGCATCTGTGACGCTGATAGTCAAACACAAATCTTCCACCCACTGCTGCTTCAGGCAGCCCGTCCATTGCTGCTGCTTATTACAAAAAAGGGCGGTCAGGTAGAGTCAGGCATGCCCTGAGGCATGATTTCTGTGCATTGGGGGTTTAAAAAGTAGTCTTAGATGTCTTTATATCAAGTAACACCAAGATTAAAAAGTCAAGCACTGAAAATTTCAAAATTAAAGTTGCTTATTTTTTCAAAAAACCCCTGTCCTGTCCTCCAAAAAAGCATAAACTAATATATGGCATAATCAGGTATTTATTTCTTCCCCACAGGGTCATTCGCACATCAATAATGTAAAATAAAAGTACTAGTATATACGCATTGCTTATATTTTCTACAGTGGAAAGTGTCTGCAGGTAATGATTCCCCTGCTCTTGCAAATTTGCCAAAACCTGCAGGGCAGAGTTGGAAGCTTTTTAAAGTTGCTGGCATGCTCACACACAGCTGAAACGCAGCTAGTGGGAGTCCATTCCATCCCATCTATTTAAAATCTTGAAAAGTGACCTGTCTAGCGTGCTTGCCCAAAGGTAATTCTGGCCCATGGAGAAGAAGGTCAGCTACTTCTGCAGTACTAGATTTCTGCTCTGTAATCGCCGGAACAAAGGCTGCTGTGTGAGACTTTCTGCTTAGTGGCAATCACTTTATTTTCTGTGTCTCTACCACACGCTCTTTCTGCGCTCAGCTCTGTCTGCGGTTTCCATTTGCAGGATAGACAATGCAGCTAATGGCTTTTTTTTTTTTTTCTGAATGGGATGCTTTTCTCGGTTTAACTGAAGTTCTTTTATTTAGCAAATCTCTCCTTTTTCAATTCTGTTTAATAGAAGGAAAATGTCCAAGAACATCTACACGTATAAATGTCAGTGACATGCCAGTGAAAGGTACACACAAGGAAAAGGCCATCTACTGCAGAGTATTTTTATTTTTTTTGATATGTGTACTTGAAGCAGTGAGAACTAAGATGCCCCTTTCTCTTAGCATATTGTATTTTATGTTGAGGAAACTGGCATTTTCCTAACCATTTGGGTAATTACACAGGCAAAACACAAAATATAATTAAGAACATATTTATTGATAGTACTTAATGAGCAGATAGTTTAGCTTTCAAATTACCAGATTGTGTTTGCTTGAAGCACCTTCAAATGGAAGATTCTACTAGAAGTGTAAAATGCAAATGTAAAACTCGCTGCATTGGTAAAATCTGCTACATTGTGAAAAGTTTAGCAAACTGAAGCTTTACTGAAGGATTGTAAATGAATGGTTCATAAAAACGGTATGCTGGCCTATCTGCATTCATACCACAAACAGTCCGTAATGACTTATTAAATAGCTCATTGCTCACCACTCCTAAATTATTTTTTTAACACTAGCACCTTTTCAAAAAAAAAAAAAACCAAAAAAACCACTTTGTATTTTTAGATAGCCTGACTTAAAGTGTTTTTTAAATGTTTCTATTTCTTCTCCTAGTTTGATTGTTTACAACCATAGGAAACACTGTGTAATGTTATATTTAAAAATATATAAAATTATTCTTGTGCTGATGTTATAAGCCAGAAAGTTGTGTATTCATAAATATGTTAAAGGATATAAATTTAGATATGTAAAAATTAGACAGGTAGTAAAACATTACAGATTTTTTTGTTCATTTTTACAGACACACAATACTTTGCATATTGCTTCAAAAAGTAAAAAAGAGAAATGGAAAAGAAACAAATTTTTGCCATGGTGATGATGTTGGGTGCTCAATTTCTGAATTAACTGAATTGCAAGAGTTCAAAACTTTATCTCAGTATGTTCTAGGGTTTTAATGCTTCTCTCTGAAAAGTATTAAGTAAAAAGGGCAGCTGCCTGTAATGTGTGGGACATCTTTAATTTTTGGTAGTGCACGGTATAGTTATCTGGAAGGATGGTCTGTGTGCAGAAAGAGTTTTAGCATTACTGAGTTTAGAAAATTATGCTTTGGAGAATAATTGTAGGATAAAGAATGAATTAGTTTACTGTTAGATGGTAATTTATAGTTAAATCAAAAAATACTGTTATTTGACTGGAAGTTAATAAAAGACAATTATTATTGTATACTCAAATGATTAGAAGAAATCAGAATTGAAACTAAGAAGAAAAAGCTATGTATCATTTCTTTTCTGAGCTTTTGAAACGGCTCTTAAAATATTCCATGAAATTTAAAAAAAAAATAAAAAAATCTTGTTACTCTGATAATTGATAGCTCTTTTAAAAAAAAATCTAGGAATACTAAACCCAAGAGATTTGGTGGGAAGAAAGAGGATAAATATGCAGTTTTCTTTTTGTTTACTGCATATTTCTTAATTTTCTCTGACGGTGTTTTGTACTTATGAGTCTATTGATTAGCACACCAGCAGCATGGTCACGCAGTGCTTTGGGGAGAGCACACTGTGTTCTTGCCTTGCCTCTGGAAAGGGCACTTGTCTCTACCAGTGTCTCGTGTTGGGTAGGCAGGAGGCTGAAATATGTGTGGAAGGAGAAGATGGAAAGGAGGAGCAGGGGTCAGCATGGTCTGGTCAGAAGAGCTCTCCCACGAAGATAAATTGAGCGCTATAAGAACCTGAGGATTTAAAGGATGATGTATTTTAACTTTTAAATCACCTTTAATAATTAAAGTTTGCTGAGAGGAGAGATAAGTGAGTGTATTCTAACAGGACTTAAAGCCTGTGCTGACAGCACGTCTTTGGAAGTGGATACTGCACCTACCACAGAGTAGCAAATGTTGAATTTCATATCCTGGTGTTTCCCCCGGTAATTGGTTTTCTTACACTGTTCTTAAGAATGTAAAACCATGAATCTGGTTTTCACAATGGAATTTTACATGACATCTGCACGTCCTAATCATAAAGACGCTAATTTGGTATGAAAACAGCGCACAGCCGGCTACTGCTCACATCCTGGGGAAAAAAATAATTGCACCCAAACAAAAGAAATATGTGATAGCTTGTTTAATTTTCTCCCCACCCCCTCTAAAAGCTACAGCACCTTTTCTGCCTGTAGTAGTTTGCATCTGAATATATGTAAATGTATTTGCATACCTGCTAACTGTAAAGATTTGAGGTTGCATGACTGTTACATCCATTGCACCTACTTGTCTGTTTTACCATGAAAAAAACCAGCTTGTGGTATGGCAGCAACTACCTTTTGTTGTTCTCAATGGTAGTAAATTTTAGACGACATTCAGGTTTGTTAACCCCGGTTTCAGAGGGAATTTTTTCCAAATGGCTACAAATCTCTAGCTTTAGCCATGCCTAATGTAAGATGGAATTCCGTTAGATAATACATACATGCAATCATGCACTCGTAACTGTAAGACTACATTCCATGTCACTGGATACATATGCTTCAGCTGCTTTATTTAGAAAAGTATTAATAGTTAAAAAATTTGACATATACTTTTCTGCTTAGTTCACAGCTTGTTTAAACATATTTTTTTTCCCAGATTGCACACTCTCTCTCTCGATGAATTAAAGACAGTAAAAGGTATTACGTTGACGATGGCCCATTGCCTCTTGCTCCTCAACTGCAGAAGCCAAGGGTGCCCTCTCCCGGCCTCGTCCCCGAGGAATGGCTGGACCTTCCCCTCCTCGAGCACCGGCGGATGCGATCCTGGGCAGCGGTGGTGGGCGCCAGCGCTGGCGCTCAGCTCGGGAGCACGCGGACAGCCAGGCGTGGGGCTCTTTGAGGGGACACAAACCCGTAAGACCATCCAGGCATCTCAGACTTAAACCTCCACTGTGCCGGGACTGGGGACACCTAGCAGCGCCCTCATCAGCATTCTTCCGCTGCCTCTTCCTCCACAGGTGAAGGAGCGTGTCTGTGTGTTCTCCCGGGGGGGAGGCGGCGCTCCCCGGCATACCCAGCGGGTCCTCGGCGTCACCCCGGGAACGTTCTGGCTTGGCCGCGCTCGGGTGCCAGGGCCGATGGTCCGTGCGCTGTTCCCGACTCGGCGCTGGCGAGACGGCTGCTCCCCGTTACAGGGCTAGGACTGGAAATACCTACAGATATTTCTGTTTATACACTTGTAAGACTGCACAGGTGAGTCACATTTATTTCAAACCTAAAAATGTGCTTTAAAGCTTTACATTTATACACATTCTAAGTCTTACCTAAGATGCTGCCGTTAAATTCTGATGTTAGAAATTCTGATGCAGATAATACAAACTTCTTAGTAATTTAATTTCACCCTCTTCTTTCACTACTTACAGGTTCATCTTAGAGTTTTCAGCAGTTAGCAAGAAGCATTTTAATACAGCATGATGACGTGTCGTTCTAAAAATGGGAGCATTCAAACAAGCAGACTGAGATCATGTGTCTGCTTCAAACTGAGATGCCCCTCTCACTCCCCCATTTTAGATATAAAGTTACTGTTGACAGGAAGAAACTAGTGTTTTAAATACAAAAATATGTAAAACACACAGAAAGCATCATTTTGGTTTCAACTGCATTGCTGAGCCCAGGGTAAGTTAGCATTCTACTGTTGTGATTCTCCATACATAAAGCACTGTTGTTGCTATTAGAGTTGCTTTAAGAATTCAAATGCTTTTGGGAAGCATTTACTTTGCTATTCAGCAACAAACTAAACTATGGTTTATTTTGGTTTATTTGGTTTATCAATAAACATAAGCGCTATATTGCTACAATGGGGAATAACTGGGAAAATTAAATACAATTACACTTACTGAAATGAGATCCAAGTTTCTACCAACGTTTTTATTTTTGCTTAAAGAAACAAAAACTATAAGCAATGAGGAAACTAACCTATATAAGGTAATAGTTCCTTCTCCTTCTACTTCAACTGGTATTTGAAAATTGTTTTTATTACAGCATAGATGAAACAACTGTATTCAGCAGTGCTACTGAGAAGGTACAGAAGAGATCAGAGGTAATGCTACCACATACTAAAGAGATGAATTTTTTTTTTTCAATGTCTTAGGATAACCAAAGTCTATTTATTAAAATATGCATTTTGATTTGAAAATTAAGAAACCCAGAACAATATTTTAGAAGTTAAATACAAACCAGTAGTAAATATGCAAAATACAGTTGATAAGCAGAGCGATGATGCAAAAGAAATAAGTATAATAATCGATTCCTAAAATGTAATTCTTCATAATGTTTGGCTTCCCCCCTACCCCCTACGTGTGATGTATTGTCAGTCTAAACAGGACAGCTATGCAACATAGTGAGATGCTACTACCTTACACGGTGTAGTTGAATTTCCTTACCAAAGCATCAAAAAGGTAATGACACTGTGAGGCCTGATATCTGCATTAATATGTACTAACCAGATTGTGTTTGAGGAAAATGAGGTTAAAAAAAAATACAGTTTTACAATATACAGTACTTCTTCAGTAAGAGGACTTGTCCAAAGTGAATTCATCCTCTTTCAGCACAGATTTCTTGACTTTTTAGAACAGTAACGTCTAAATTACAGTACAACTGCTAACACTGAGTGATACTTTGGTTAAATACATATGTTACTCATCAGTGTGCAGATATCAGGCATTTCACCATGTTCCAGAAGAGATTTTTTTTTTTTTTACCCTGACATATTTATTCAAAAGTTTTTTATGAACCATCAAGATTGAGTTGCTTATACATTTGATTTATCCATGAGTATCAGCCCTCTTTATAGAACAGATCAAAACTAAACACTCTACATAGGACCAATAGAGCAGAATTATTCAAGTTCAATGAAATATTACAAAAAAGGCTTCCTTCTTAGGAAAATTCAGCTATGGTAAAAATATCTACTACAGTGCACTGCACTGTAATAAATATTCAACATAAATTAATAATTTACAAGTACCTGAGCAAGTATACAGAGCACCATAGCACAGCACAGCACCAAAGGCAGTAGCTCAGAATTCTTAAAAATAATGCTGTTTTAAACATTAAAAATTCTAAGTATTGTCATAAAAATGAACTCCAGCTGGAGTTTAAAGATAGTGCAAACTTCTGTCTTCACTTTTTAAACTAAAGGTGTCAGATTTTCTGGTCATTTCACATCAGCAGTGTTGCTGGACCTGGATACCTGTGGTGGATGCTTAGGAGCAGGTCTGTTGGAAAGAAAGAAAATAGCAAATTTTTATTTAAACTTCTGTTAGTTCTCACTGCCAGCATCACGCTTGAGGCATGAAAATGAAGGGTAAAAGCTTTTAGGGTTATCCAAGTTAACTTCAGACATATAGCATGGGACTCATACCGGGAGGAGATCAGACGTGTTACTATATACACAAATATCATCAAGAAGCATAAATGGCACTAGCAGACTCCTTTTTTTCATTTTATGTTTGAATTACTGCTTGGCCAGTGGGATAAGCTAGCTCAGTGTTTCAGGTGTTGTTCTTTAAACTCTTCATTTCCTTGGGCGCTCATCAATTTTGCACTTGCTCAAAAATGCTACTTAATGTTGTAGAATAGCAGTTGGTTTCAAAAAGTTGGAGTAGTCAGCTTAAAATATTATTACTTTCAGAATATCATACTATAATGGACAGCCAGGACATTAATCAAAGTTCACTCTTGCAGTCTTTTTGCTATAAGTCTTAAGAAACTAATTTGATTCTGTTTTTATTTTTTTCTGAGTAATTAAGTGCCTCCATAGTAGAATTCCTGTAGCTTAAAATACTACTTTTATCTTCCTTGGAGCTCACTCTTTTTTCTGTAGGAAACTGAAGAAATTTCAGTAAGAAAATATCATCAACTATGCCCATTAACATTGGGCATATAGTTACTGCACTTCCAGATTATTTTTTTTCAACATCATTTTTTTTTGAAGTGTACAATTTGTGTGCTCTCTGAATGTTTTGGGTATTATTTTCAGATGATATAAATTGGTGTTGCATTGTGAAATGTGTGAATGGAAAATTGCGTTTATTGGTGGTTGATCTTAACAGCATTCAGCCTAATTCTGTAGGTGGTCTGAGTAGGAAATTTTTTCCTGAGCGCTTTGTTTCTCTTGAAATTGGTGCTTATTAACGTCTTTCTTTTGCAAAGAATTTTATTTATTGGGCAGTTATTGTAAATACACAACCAGATGCTTATAGCCAAACCTTCATATATAGTATAAATTTTCATACTTCTGGGGAAATCAGTGCAATTGTGCTGACATAATCCCAGTGAGAATCAGCCCGATACTGCTCACTTTTATATAAGCAGATAGGAAATGGTGGTTGTGTAGCTCTCGGCAGTAGTTACAACACAGCATAGTTACCCAAGACATTTTAGACCTCTCATTGAACAAAATGTTGTAAAACCATGGAGAACTAACCTTACAGGAGTAACGTGAGGCAGAGCTTTTGTGTGTCCAGGCACCGCTGCGCACGCACTGGTATGGCGGGCTTTGGTCAGAGGGTCTGCTGGTAGGGGCTTCTGCGGAGGGCTTGGTTTGTGGTTTTCCTGTTATAAAACATAAGGTCATATTAGTCTTCGGGACTGACATAATGTACTTAATACAGCAAAAACTGAGATAAAATGAAGATGAGTTCAGAGTAGTTGTGACCAGATATATTTAAATGAGTAAGCCATAACTTATTTTTAATAAACTTATTTTAATAAAACTTATTTTTAATATTTAATTAATAAAAATTATTTTAAAAAGATTTAATACCCTATTGTAATGATTTTGTTTCTTTTGATTTTTTTACTCTAGAAATACTAGATGCATCTATACTGGAGTTAATGATTAATTGGTGGTAAATGAAAACAACATAGATTGAATATATAACATTGTACAAGTAGTTATATAAAAAGATGGGAATACTAGAAATTACTTTAAAGTGCAAATTCAGAAAACCATAAAAACAAACTGCTCAAGTCCAGTTTGAATTGGTAGCATCTGTGGAATTGTTTTTAGAGATGCTGCTGTGCTTTCATTCTGTGGAATTAAATGATTCATTAATAAAGAACAGGAGTCATCTGCCGTCAGGCATGAGCTAATGGCTCTTCTGTGTGGTCCCTGAAACACTGGAAACATGGTAACATGTCTATTTGTGGTCTTCGTTATGAAGAACTGGGATAGATTAACTGACTTGCTCAAGGCACTCAAAAACTCTCCAATATATCCAAAAACTCACTTAAGATCCTTCTATCACTTGAAGTGCATAGTCATGCTTTTTGTAAGTAATTTTACTCTTTATTATTAGTTTGTCGTAACTATAATCAGTAAAGTTGTCCAAAAACAAATAAGAAGAGCTTACAGACATAATCTAGTTAAAGATCCCCTAAAAGATGTAATCGAAACAGAGTCATGAATTGCTCATGAATAAAGTACAATTTTTCATTAGTTACTTTAAGCATCCTTTTGTTTTCTTACTTTTCATGGTAAATGTTTGCTCTTCCAAGAAGGAAAAGCAAGTTGACTATCTGTACGCATTTTGATAAGGAAAAGAATACGGGAGTGTAGGTAAACCTCATATATATTAATTTCAAATTTACCACAAACTACATTTTAAAGCTGTATATAATGACCCTCTTCTTTTTCACTCTTGGCATAGTATGTACTAGTTCTTGAGTGAATCAGAAATTGCAACATGAAAAAAAATTCTTATTTTATCTTATTGTTAGAGCCGAATCTCATATTCAGTATAAAATTTAGTCTTGACCGTCATCCAGAAGAACTTCCACTGTAAACCAAGATAAACATATCATGCTATAAGAAGTTTGTCTGTGAGCTCTGTCTTTTGGGGTAAAAATAATTGCAAATACTCTTGAAATAATCAGGGCTGGAAAAATGATGAAATAACCAGCATGCTTGTAAATACTTTAGGTAGCTTCACCTCGTAGGGCTATCCTGTTGAAAGTCACAGAGTTTATTTAGACACTAGCACGGGAAGTTCTTCAAAACATGCTCATTTCCCATGATACAGAACTAGAACCTTAAAACTATTAAGAGAAGAGATCTTACCTCAGGATTTCTTAACCAAAGTTTACTTTGTGCACTAAATTTCTTACAGAATGAAATCTTAATGTGTGTGTTTTGAAGTGAAATATAACAATTTGGAACAAGTTAGATCACAGCAGAAGCTGATACTTTTTAAATAACTGAATTATCTCTACAGTGAAAGATAAATTTAAGTTGCTTCGGTAATAATTTTGTTAAAAAGTCACAATGTTTATTACATGGGACAGTATATGCATCATCAACTCAAGTGTGACAGCATTTAAAAAACAGTTGTAACAAACACACAAACATCAGCATCATAAAGCCAGCAAAACCCAAATACATCTCTGAACACCATAAAGCCTTTATTCCCTTGAGTCCCTCAAATACTTTTACATGATTAATCACATGAATTAGTCTGATCACATGAGCATTCAGCTGTTTGCTTGATCAGTCCCTAATTGTTATTGCATGATTTGTATTTACTCTTCAGCTGGCAGAATGCTGAAGTTCCATAATTGGGAAGAGGAACCGATCCAGGCTCAGCAATCTAGAGAAACAAAGGTCTGAAGAGCTTAAGATCTGGTAAGGATGAATGAACAAAGAGAGAGGAGAACTGTCCTCGTTGATTAGTTCATATTAGCTGTGTCCTATGTCTAATCACCTGCAACACCTGATAGTAGGGGAAGATTGACTTTCTGAGAAGCTCAGAGCAGCTAAGTACTGATGGGACTCTATCAGTTGCTTTCCCCCCCTGTTTTTGCAGGGAAAGCTGGCTGAAATGGCTAATCCATATGTGCTGATCTAGAACAGTTCTTCAGCTGTGGAGTGAGCATCAAGATAATCTTTGATGCCTAAACCAAACTAATTCTTTAGGCCCTCTTATTCCAGAAGAAACAACTATGTGAGGAAATATGTTGAAATATAAGTTATTCTATAAACATAACTCTGATGGGTACACAAGCCCAACACCTGATTTCTTTTTTTTTTTTTTTTTCTTTTTTTTTTTTTCTTCCCAGAGCTTGTAAAAATGTCGCCTTTGAGTTAATATCCTTAAGTAGGAAGCAGCAAAGCGGCTTGACAGAAAGTCTAATGTGGCAAGCTGGCAAGAAAGGGTAAAAGCAAGAGGAAAAAAAAAAAAAAGAGAGCAAATTCACATAAAAATGGAGATGGAGAATGTGTAATGGCGGAGATGAAGCACAAGGGAGGAGCACTTCACAGAAAGGAGATGCCAGCACTGGAAAACGTCACCAGGAATACATACATTCTTAGAAGCAGAGGAAAAAATATTTGAAGAAATAAAACCTCTCCCCCAAACTGATTACAGTATGGTCTTTTATATTCTTTATGTGCCACAAGAGAATCCAGACTGATACAGCTTTGTATGTTAACGTGTGGAAACTCGCTGTAGCTTTTGATGTCCTGGCAAGTCCGTAGCACACTCATAGTACCACCATGCCTGTGCTTCCCTCCTCCATCTCTCTCTTCTTCCTCCCAGCCCATTTTTTTTCCCCCCTACAGAGCTTCAGCTCTTCAATACAAAGACTTTATAGATGGATTTTCTTTGTCCAGCAACTTAGCATTTAAGGCATTCAGTATCTATCTGTATTTGGGGAAGTATTATTTTAAATACATGATTTCTTTTTATAGTTCTGCTCGGAAGAAAAACATAATTCTCCTACTGAGCAGCTACAAAGACATCAGGTGCATGAAGCTTTATTTTTTTTTCACTGATATATTTTTTTTAAATAAGTAACTGGAATAAGGTGCTTGCCTGAAATGCACTGGGTGAGAAGGGGTGTCTTTCTCAATCTGTTTAGATGAGAACTTAATTTGTGTTAGCCCTCTGTGTCTAAAGCCAGTCTGAGGTGACATAGGGAGAGGTATTAGCAAGAATAATTGTGGCAGTATGAGCAGTGAGGTGAGCCCAGCTCAGTTTAACTAGGGGAAAAGTAAAAATACCAAGCTATATTTCCCGTAATAAGGTTGACCTGTAAAATATAAGATATATTTTGGTAATAAGAAGATGACAGTATCAGAGGCAGCAAGTGAATGCTAACAGTAACAAAACCGAGAGAAGTGATCAGATCAGAATGCATGGACTGAACCCATGGTTAGGATAAGCCTGTGCTGTTTCCATGATTGATATTGACTGTGAATAAGTAAAATAAAGTAAATAAAGTATGTTTGCCTTGCGAGAGTATCTGAAGGGAGAGAAAGCTGTTTATCAGTCAAGATTGTTAAATGTTAAACTTGGCAACAGTTCATTTGCTAAATGTTGGGTTGTTTGGGGTTTTGTTTCGTTTTGCTTTTTATGGGGGGTGTTTACTATTTTATTTACATCTGAAAGGAAATTTTATAGCAAAATAATAATCCATTCGCTGGCCACTAGAGGAGAAAAGAGTTGTCTTAAAGTCTACTTAGTATGTTATGCCTTAGCTGTCCACTGCTCAAAGCCCAGAGGTGGAAGGAAAGTAGCTTGTGCTTAAATACACCTCTCAGAAGGGAGAAGCAGGAGGCAGCAGCTGTGGGTCCATAGAAGCAGTGAACGGTTTCAGATCCTCCTCTTCAGCACTGTACTGCAGTACTGAGCATCTGGATGATATTATGAATGTAGCAATGATTTTTAAATTGCCCCTTCTTGATGACCTGGTAGATGCAGTTCCAAGAGAGTGCTGAAGCAAGACATTAAGTACTATCTATATAAACTAAACCAAAACTACTCTCAAGTTAATATACTTCTTCCAAGCTTTGAGTGAGTCAAATCGTTAACTTCAGAAGAAAAGATTTTCTTCTCATACAGTGTTTTCTGCGTCCCTAGTATATAAAAAGTAGCTATTTCTGACAATCTTGAATTGAGGTTATGGACATAATTTTGAAAGAAGCCACTCGTGCTTATTCACCAGGTTGCCTTGAGTTGATTTCCTGTTTGTTTTACTTCTGTTTCACACAGCAACTGAAAATTGAAAGCAGAGATATTTTGCTTGATGGAGGAACTGTTGCAATTAATTTGAGCTGCCAAACTGAAAAGCTTTTTGGCAGTTTCAGATCTGTCAGTGTTTGGTAATGATAGTAGTAGTAGAGATGTGGTGTTCTACCTTATGTTTTATGTGGGATTTGAAGGGGGGGTCATGTAGGAACATGAATTGGAGTAGTGCATTGTGCTGCTTTGATGTGTGATGACAGGCTGGGTCAGATATGGATGCACCATTAGAATGAGAAATAGTTACTTTTTCTTGGAAAGCCTTTTCTCCATCTGTCTTTTTCATAGTGGGAAACCGTAAGCTTATAAGTTTCTAGATAAGAAGAAATAGAAGTTATTTCTTCTTCTTTTTTTTTTTTTTTTTTATGGAACCATTTGATTAAGAAATAGAAAAGTACTTCCACTTAAAATCTTAACTCTGACTACTGTAAAATATGCAGAATGTTTTAAGGAATGCAAGAAAATAGACAATGAAACCACTGGAGCTAAAGACAAAAGCAACAGAAACCAATGCTACTTCAGTTTTCCTATAAAATTGATTTTGGAAAGAATTGGTATTTCCCATTCCCCTGAAAAGGAAAATAAATGACTAGCAAGATGGAAAATGGAAGAATAAAAAGCTTAAATACTTTGAAAGCATTTAATAAACTGGCCACAATTGTAGAATTTGGTCTAAGTTGAGTGATTCAATGTTCAGACTTAGACAAAATTAAAACTAGAGAAATGTTTTTGCTGTCATAATGTGTACACCCTGTGCCATGGCAGCTCAACACTGTCTCATCCCTTTTTGTTTCTGTGTTATTTTTACAGCTACTTTTCAAAGCACTGCACGTCAGCAACTGTTTCTCATGGCCATCTCCACCTATAAATCACTGGGAAAGTGGGTCGGAGTAGCTCACGAGGCTGCTGCAGGAAGAAGGTGCTCTGTCCTTGGACAGCCTAGCTAGGTTCAGATAGGCACAGGCACTCAAGACACAGCTATTTGAGTAGGGATTTGCAGTACGTGCATCCAAATCAGTCTGACACTCATTTAAGATAGCTTGGTGATAACGACATTCACTTCTTTTTAATCTTGTACTGTATCCAGAATAGCACAATGCCTACAAAACAGAAATAGCTGGGTGCCTGATTTCTTTGCTTAGACACAGTCACACTACAAATGCAACCAATAGAGAGAAACCAGTGACAAGAAAAGGGACAATTTAATACAGGCAACTGCACAGACAACCTCATTTACCCCGAATATTGCCTTGAGATGCATCTTATTACAAAACAAAGAGTTACCAGTTCTAGTTAAACATTGCAATGAAAGGTACATCTAGATGAAATAGTATGGGTAATTACAAGTCTACTTTTCAGATCTGGAAAGATCTCTGGAAAAAAAATAATGCAATTCATATACCCCTTGGCAGAACAGAAGCACATCAAGCTAATATACCTTTTGCTCTTGCACTAGACATCTGCAGCTTGACTTCCTAAACTCTATCACTGTATTTGGCACCTTGCTAACAAACCATAGAGTTTCCCCTCTGGTTGGGCAGCTGGCAAAATGAGCCTGTTTGTCTGTAATATGGAGCTTGTTTATACTGTTGTGTCTTTTGGGTGGTGAAGAGAGAGTTTAGGATCACAGCCTCAGTTGGCATAAACCAACATATCTACACTGTATTTCTAAATGTGTACAAAATACAAAGAAAATACTACTGGAAAAGGCCAATACGAAAGACGAGAAAACACTTAATCCCTCTTCACCATATGCAGATTCTCACATGCTAATTATTAAACAGAAGAGAAGCTTAAAGAAAATTAATGATTACCTGGGCAAACCTCAGCGAAGGGTTAGCTGGCAAGGGTCTTTCAGGCACAGCTTGGTGACATGGCAGCTGGGGAAGTGGTGGTAGGACTCGCTGCGGTGTTTTTAATTGTGGCAAATCGTGTGTCTTCACAGGGTTACTAATGTCAATGATCTGATATGGCAGCGGTCTTCTTGGACCATCTCTCTATAGAAACAACCCCAACCAAAAAGTTATAAACTTCAACAGTGACATAAGCATTGCTGCTTTAAAATCTGTGTTATTCACTTGCTTTTCTCTTCTACTCTGCTTTCAGCTACCTTCAACACCTCTGCAACCAGAGAAGCGATTAACAGCTTCCAGAGTCCTACTCAAACACTAATCCTTCACTGTTCAGATGTAGTACTGTGGTATAAGCTGTCTGGCTCTATCCTGGAGATGAAACTATTTCTTTTCTGCACTTGACATTGCCACCTGTTTAAAACTTGGAAGCCATAAATGTATTTTGATGCCTACATCATTTCCCATTTTGCATGTTGTTAGTTCTACATGATATTAAGATCATGTAATAATTGTGTTACAATAAATTACTTAAATGACATCCAAAACATATAATATGAGGGGGGTTGTCTTTTTTTTTTTTTTTAAAAAAAAAACAAACAAACAAACAAAAAACCCCCAAACAACCGTTATTTAGGGACTCACTTTTTGTATGTTTGTATTTTGTGGCTTCATGATGAGATTTTTACTGAGAGATGTGGTATGAACATGGTTAGGGTCAGATGAACTGGAAGGTCTTGCTGGACTTACAGATCTGCAAAGCAAACATATATTTATCGAACACAACATTCTGCTTTATAACATTTTTGTAAACAGTAGCCTCTTTTCAGAATGAGATTTTGCAAGGACTTTCTGACTTTTCATAGTAAACAAGGAAAGTAAAAATTGTCTAGCGCTCCTGCAAGAATAAAAATAAATATTGATTTTTTGGAAACCAGTAGTCTGTTAAATTAGCTTCTGCAATCTGTGGAAATGCAGCTTTGTAACACCCAAGAGACTATCCTAATGAATCTAGCATTTAAACAGTAATGACCTCAAATATGAAAGTTTGAGCTCACTCGACTGAGTTTAGATAAAGGGCCATGCAATGTAATGAAACTATTTCAAGCAAATGAAAATAAAGGAAATAATTCCTTCAGTTCTTAATTTTTTATCACAGAAGAGAAGAGGTATATAGTCAAACCAAAACCTACTTTATTTACTGGCAATCAATAAAACTAAAGTAAACCTGGGAAAACATTGCTGTTAATACTTGGTGAATATTTTTGTTAAGGCTGGATCTTTGTGACATATTCACACTGTTTTGTGATAAATGTCAAGATGAGAGCTGCCATGTTTACAGCTACTTTCTACTAATGTCTATTAGAGTATAATTAGGGAAAACAATCATACCTTAGTTTCTCTATTGTTGTTTTTTTACTTGTAAACAACCATCTCATGAAAGTCTTCCTCTTCAGATACATGACGGATCCAGCAAAGATAAGGCACAGAATGGTTATCAACACTCCTATGGTTAAACTCTTATTATCTGCAACAAAACACATTGAGTTATCTTCTACCAAAACCCATCTTTATTGAAATGTGTTGTGTATATGGAGCAGGACATTGCTGCCTGGCCTGGATTTCTAACTGCAATGGAGGTGAACTGAATAAATTGTGAATGAAAAACTAATAAACTCTTTATTTTTTTCTAGCCTGACGCTTGAATTTTGGCCTATGTAAAAGTCATTTAAGATCGGGGGAAAAAATGGTTGAAAATCATGCTGTAGGTCTCTTCCATTTGAATTATTCTACTCCATTCTAGTCAGGTATCTGAGTCCAAACATGAACATCTCTACATACTCTCTCTGGACCTATGGTCAGGTCCTGCTTAGGTTGTCACCTGCCAGTGGGGCCAGAAGGTGTACGGGCTGTTGGCCTCATCCAGACAACCACAGGGCGATGGCTGTGTCAATGCCCACGGGCACCTTCTTCATGGGCTGCCTGCTGCCAGGTGTGGTAGGGAGACATGGCTGAGAGGGAGAGAAAAGGGACAGAAATGCCTGGATCGTGGTTTGGTAAAGCGCAAACTTTTAAATATTCTGTCCCTCAAACATAAGCAGTGGCCCTAGCTCCAGTTTTTAAAGGCTTCATGGTGATTTATCACTGGGCAAACACTCTGAAATCTGGACTGTTGTGGTCCAGCCCAGATGGTTGTCAAGTCCAATCTGGAGGCAAGCAAGGAGCTGAAGGGAAGCCTTCATCAACGATGCTGTGTGCTCTCACAGGCATCTTCTGCTCAGCAAGGTACTGCAGCCTTCTGAACTCATTCCAGTTTTCAGCTTTTTTTTTTTTTTTTTTTCCTAGTACTTTAAGCGGCTTTAAGTACCTTGCTGGGCCCTAAGTGAGGCACAATGGTGAGATGAACCCTGACTAGATGGCTTGTATCAGCAACTCCCTGAAAGGAGGTTGTAGAGAAGTGGGTGTCAGTCTCTTCTTCCAGATAACAAGTGCTAGGACAAGAGGAAATGGCCTCAAGTTGTTCCAGGAGAGGTTTAGGCTGGATATTAGGAAAAACTTCTTCACTGAAAGAGTTGTCAAGCATTGGAACAGGCTGCCCAAGGAGCGGTTGAGTCACCACCCCTGGAGGTATTTAAGACATGTAGATGTGGTACTTAGGGATGTGGTTTAGTGGTGGCATTGGCAGTGTTAGTTTAATAGTTGGACTCAATGATCTTAAAGGTCTTTTTTCCAATGTAAATGATTCTATGATTTTTAGGAAGAGGTAAGCAGCAGCTCTGATTGTTGTGGATATGTGATATGATCATTGCCTGGAAGAGAGGATGCTGCTATTTCTTCAGGACTGCTGACCTAAAAACCGCACACTCCCACAGTGGGAGAATCTTTAATCTTTGCTCTGGTAACCTGTCATCACTGTCGCAGTCTTACCCTGACTGATTTTTCAGCCAGCTGGCTCTCATCTACTGGCCTAAACTCACTGGGATGCTGGTGAACAGAGTCAGCAACGCTGACGGAACAAACTACACGTGGGGCTCGATGGGGCATGAAGTGCTGCGCTTTTTACCTTAGAGCACTGCAGAATAATAAATCTCTTACCACCTCTAAAAGATTAATAAAATTAATAAGGTAAGATTATGCAATTTAAATTAATTAACTTGTCTACCTAACAATTAAATACTTGAGACTTCTTTGTAAGAAAAATATAGACTGTCAAACACATAGGTTTATTCTAAATCAGCTGGGTAAAATCGGTTACTAAATACTAATGAGAACATGTGCCTTGTTTGACTAAGATGAAAGTATTTTATTGAACTAATCCTTCTGTAATTTGATTTAGAGATGTGCAAACTACTCAGATCATAATCCAAACCACCCCATCAAGTGTTCATATTTAAATCCAAGTGTCAGCAATAGGAAATTAGGTCCTCTAGCAATTTCCATATTTTTTTATTCCCAGTATTATTGAATGTAGCACTGTCTTTTGAGAAAAATGGTGAAACTACCACACTATATTAAACCATTGTTAAAACAATTTTCCTGTTAATTTGAGTGTTGGCTTCCAAAACACAAAATGCTAGACTTATCAAAGATGTCCTATATTTGTCTTCTCCAGTTAACACTGCCTATGCAGCATGCTATTATAATACATTTTGTAGGTCCCTAGATACTTAGCTTTCAGGTAAGCTGAAACAGGACTATAATGCTTTAGAGCAAATCTTAAAAGAAAATATTTAACACAGAAGTAATCACACTTGTTCAGTGCCTGAGCACAGTTTCTTTGTTATATTACTGACTGGTAGGTATTTTAAAAAAAGATCTTTCAACAGTGAAGTCATAATATTGAGCTTTGTCATAGAAATGACTGTGATGTCATAAATCCAGTATTACAAGTCACTGCAGGGTCTGGCATGTAGGGGATACAATCCATTTTGGTTTTGAATAGTATTAGTCATATGAAAACATGCAGATCATTTCCAAGCAAGTTTTAGTTTATATATGTGCATGTGAGTAGACTGCTTGTCTTGTCACGTACTCAGGCATAAATCAGAAACATCTCTGTGGAAGTCACTGAAGTTACAGTACTCTGGAGAAAAATCGGCATGAGATTATTATCAAATCCTATAAAATTCACAACGTGCAGAAATAATTCTTTCAGAGGTTGGCCAAAGGTGAAGTAAGATACTATAGCCAATATTCTGCAGACTGAACAAGAGGAAATTGAAATACAAATTACAGAAAATGCACGTCTCCTACTACTATCATATGTAAGGGCATCTTCTGGTAAATGTGTGGAAGCTATCTATAAAATGTAGTTTTAATCTGGTACGGTCAGAAATCTACTGTTTTCCACAATGCAAAAGATCCTCCTTAGAAGAACAATGTAAAATATATTTCTAATTTTCAATTATGCAATAATTTTGCATTTATAATCATTGTAATATCTACTCTTTACTAGACACATAACTATAGGAGCAGTTTGTGTGTACAATAAAGTATTTCTGGAGAACACTGGAGCTTGGCATATCTCAAGGTGAATCCAAGAGTACTGTAACATTCATCTACCATGGCAACAGGATTAGCACAAGTGTGGGAGTTAGCTCCTCATCCTCGGCTTAAATTAATACCATTTCCTATCTATTGCAGTCAGCTACTAAACTTGACCACATATCTTGAAAAAAAAAAAAAAAAAAACAAAAACACCACAAAAAAACAAGGAAGACAAGGAAAAGAACACGACAGGACCACTGTGCCTTTAGTTATGAAGAAAATTGATGTGCTCAGTATCCTTGGTTTTGCTTCACTAAATTTCCAAGTTGGTGCCAATACATTTGGATTAAGCCATTTGATTTACTGACTCATTTCCTAAGTCTTGCAAGCTCACTGCTTACAAGACGACACTTTGTAGTTCCACTCTTTATCACGGAAACAACAGAAAAAGCATGAATTACTACTGACCCGCTTGCCTAATGGGCCCGCTGTCCACGCTGCCACCAAACCCCGGCTTGTCGCAGTAAGGGGGGGCCCAGTCAGCCTCGCAGTGACAGTTCTTTTTATTGTTGCAGACCTGCAAAACAAGACAAATGACTTAATGTGAAAAGGATTACCCTACACATCTGAGCGCAGCGCTGGCTGATAAGGCCTCCTAATCAGACAGGGACACATCTGAAAGAAATAAAACTTAGGGAAGAAAAGAGAGGCAATGGTGTGTGCCTATTGGCACAGCTAAGATGGCATAGAGCAACTCTGAGTGCAAGACACCACGAAGTAACAGGGATCCTAAAAAAGCATTATTTAGTTGGCAGGTAATCGTTTGACTTGCACCAGCTGACAACTTCAGTAATATAAGGATAATCACACACCTCTTAAGTCTCATTCTCTCTTTGCCTCTAGCAGCAACATTATCTGCTTTCTAACTTCTGTTCCTTCTGCCTTCACGGGAACAAGAGTTTCTCTATGCTGTTAAGGCTGTAAAGCTTTGTCAGACCACTTGAACACTCCTATCCATCAAGGGCTTACACTAGGCTGCATACTGATTTTTCTACTGCTCAGATCCCCCAGCTCTAAGATGGACCAGTTGCTGGAAGAACGTACGCAACTGGAATCAGGGCTGAGGAAACCCTCCCTTTGATACCCTATCGGCACTGTCTATAAAGGTACAAGTCCTCAGTGTTTTGGTGGTTTTAATCCGAGTTAAGGAACAACTAGCAAGACTTGATTTACTAAATGCTCCCTGCACAGTAAGAGAGCTCCAAAGGACTGGCGTCCATCACTAACAGCAGCCTGTTCCCGCTGCACAGAGCAGGAGCTGGAAGACTCACATCTTTTTCCTCAGGAGGTCCCAAGGTCCCAAACACCCATCAAAAGAAGGGCTGCCTTTTATTTCCTTTTGTGGCCACCCAAGTAGTGGCTATGTGACTAATACAGAGGCTAAACCTCTGTGCTTGACCAACAGAATACATGAACAGACTAAAAAATTCTGTTGCAGAGGAGAGACACGGCACAGTCATAAATAGATGCTCAAACTGATTTTTAAATAAAGATTTTGGGCTCAGTTAGTTGTCAATATGGTCCTTAATTCTGTGCTAACACTGATCATCACTTATTTACCACTGCCATGGAGAAGTCACACAACAGATTAATAAATGTGCTTCTGAGTAAGACACTAGTTGGTTCACAAGAGTTTGCAAATATGCATTTTTCTGGCAAGGTCAGCTGATAGGCGTTCAGAAAGAATATACTGGCTGTGCATGCAGAGTATTAAAATATCATTCACATAGCTTAGACTGGCTATGGTCTTGTAAAACAAAAATAAAACAAAAAAAAATGATTTATTTTTCAAAGACAGCAAGATAATAAAAAATATAATTTGTTAAGCATTATTTTAAAAATTAAAATGCTACCGGAGTTCCCATCTACAGGTCCACAAGGTCATTTTTTGCTACTCAGCCATCACCAGAGGGTCTCCATTGTGCAGACATAAAGATGCCAGTCTAAGCTGATGCCCATTCCAGCACAACGATACCATGCAGCACCATCAACACTGCACAGTTTTCCAAATGCAGGAGGACAAAATAAGTTAAAGCAAATTAAAATCCCTTCTCAGGAGAGGACAGAGAATTTCCTATCGCTCTTCCAATGTGGCTGCTACAGCTTTTCACAGAAACAAACGGATCATCATCAAATCAAGATTAATAAGTCATAGCCTGATATAGTTAACATTTTCATAATATAAACTAGGTTTCAAAATACTTTGATATTATTATCTGATATAATAAAATTTTTCATTGTCCACCATTTTCATACCATGAAACACTCCAATATGGTTTTATTTTATTTTAATACTTTTGGAAATGCTTTTCCATTTGACTCTCAATTCAAATGCATATATTAACTTCTCTGTTTCTACATAGAAACTGTATTTTTTAAAATGTTAATGGGAATTCTTCATGAAGGGAGGTTAGACATAAAATTACTTTGAAGATGACAATTTTTTTTTTATCATAAGCTGTCAAATAAGAACAAGATAATTACTACTTGATAATTATTTCTTTGTTAAATAAAAATAATTTAATTTCTTGCAGTTCATATAAGGGACACTGAAAATGGAAATACATAATAAAAAGGTATCGGAGTGACTTTGACTGATATATTACAAACAATCATAGATCCAAAATCTATTACATAAAATTACTTCTTGGCCAGTGTTTATTGACTGATTGTAAAAAAACTGTTCCTATAACACTTACTCCACGTCCATGGCACTTTGTGGCACATTTATGTACACCAAAAACACTTGTATTCTGGCACCGACGATTAAGGCAAATCTGCAAAATAAGAGAAAAGGAGTTTTAATAAGGACAGAACTGCTGGTGCTCATAAGGCATCGTGTCCCTCTTTGTATGTCTGCTCATCCATCAGTGGTACTTTTAGCAGTTAAAGATTTCCCAATACACACGCTGCATTGATGTTATATTGACAAAAAGATAAAGATGCCAGAATTAGGTGTCTTCTTCTTAGGCCTTTGTAAGTCTTTTAGGTCCAGATCTGTGGACGTCGAATTCTGCTCTCGATCAACATTCTGGCCAATATTGAATTTCAGACATAGTTCATATTCAGTTGATATGCTGAGCTTGTGTAAATAAACACTCAGTTTCCCTGAAGTGGAACTTGTGGTGAGCTGCTGGGGTTTAGGGTTTTTTTAAGCCAATTTAAAAACCAGTAATTTGCATGTTCTCGGGACTAGGAATGCACGGAGCAGGATTCTTCCATGTACCGGGGCTGGCTGCGTTCATGTCTTCACAGCAGCAGATGATTCTTCAAGTAAAAGTTCAGGTCCCCTCATGGTGTTAATTAACATAATTGTGTTTATATTGATAGTTCAATACTTTTTATGCTAGTACAGAACTTGGACGCAGGACAGCCTGAATATTTAACTGAGGTCGTTGATACATATGGGCTCATCATTGTTCTGCAGCAAAACTGAGACCTTTCTAAGAGTTTTGCCAGGTTAAGCAATTTTTTTAGTGTCAAATAAAAACCAACAATATTTAAAGTGTAATAATAATCTTATAGGAAGTGGAACTAAACAAATAGCATATGCAAAGTAATAAAATCCAACTTGTTTTGTTTTGTTTTCCAGTCATTATAGGTAAACTTTGCCAATATAGCTGAAAGTTGGGGTAAAGCAAGATTAGTGCAATCTAATAATAACATCAAACAATCAAATGACTGATGAAGATGCCAGTTCTCATTACTGAAAAACTTAAAAAAAAAAAAAAAAAGACATTAGGACTGGAATAAATGTTACTATGCTATGTTGACCAAAAATAAAAATAGAAAAATGGTCACTGCACAGTTTTGTTCATGTTTAACTGCAGTTCAGTTCAGCAGTACTAAAAGTCAGTCACAATAATTAGCATTAAGCAGGGAATAGTGTTGAAGGAGACGACAGGGATGCTTAATCAGGGCACTTATCCCCTGGGGAGAAGGAAAAATGGAAAGGAAATTAGAGTGAATTGGCATCAACACGCACGCATGTAGAGAATATGGTCTGATTACAGCAGTATTCACAATTCAAATATTCATAGTGCAGTAGCACACAGAATTTTGATCACATTAAAATGGCTGCATTTCAAATTGTGTATCTTCAGCTTAGAAAACTCAAGAATATTTAAATTCATATTCTTAATCCATAATACAAATGCACTAATGTCCTCCAAGTAAAACATACAATTTCCTAAGTATTAGCCTGTGTATTCTATAGTGTGTATGTGTATGATTAGATAGATTAGAAAGATTAAGTACTCATTAGTAAAACATAATGGGGTGCTTTCCCAGCGTTGAATTTTCTTTGAAAAGACATTTTATAACAGATTGACTTAGAAATATTGTAAGGGTTGTTTTCCTGTAACAGAACTGTAGTTTCACTAGGGATGTATTTTAAACCCATTCCCAATGCAGTGTGATAACCCAACATAATTCAAAAGCATTCAGAAATTCAGAGGCTTACTTGAATTTACCACAAATTATCAAAGAATTATTTTTATTTTCTTTTTGAAAGTAATTCACTGAGGGTATGGAAACCTTTATTTCAATAGTTCTTGGGCTCCTTTCCATTCCTCCCCCTCTGTAAACTCATGGCTGTTTCACACTTTTTTTTTCTGTTCCTTTTCTCACAAAAGAAAAAGTAAAAATGAGACAGCCATTTGAAATTTGGACTACATTCGTATCAGATATTTCACAAAGTTTGCAAAATATGATTGCAAAAATCAGTTTTGGTGGCTGAACATCAATGAGCTTATATTTTTCTAATAGTGCCTAGATAGATAGCTTTTCCTGCAGGAAAAAAAAGAAAAAAGTGGGAGGAGCCATAATCAGCAGATATAATATATTTTAAAACCTAAAAAAATTTTTTCAATGCCATAGTAACTGGGAAAGTGAATACTTTGAACTCCTCAGAAATTTATTAACAAGCCTGTAATGTATTTTGCTGTACTTCTTTTGCAGAAAACCTCTAGCCTACATGGACAGATGCTTGGGACTGCCCTCAAAATATCAGTTATAAACTTAAGCAATTTTCATTGCATCTGCAAATCTACAATCCAGAACAGTGGCCAAAAGAAGGGAGTAAAACTCTGAGTCAGTGTGAGCATGAGAAACAATTCCTTTGTGGAAAAAAAAATCTCAAGGCAAAAACCAGCCAATTTAGTACAAAACACTTGGCAGCATGAGGGTAGAGATGTTCTCCTTGTTTGGGAGTATTTTGGAACCTTACTTTTCCATCTTCACACTTGGTTCCTGACAGCACAAGACCAGGATCGGGCATGTCATCACCCAAATACACGTGGGTACCACGACACAGAATCTTGCCACCTTCCTGAAGTGGGATATTCGTTTCTATGGAAACAGCATTGGTACCAATTACAGGTCGATTTGCTCCTCCTTGACACTGGATTTTTCCACATTTAGCATCTCTGCAGGAAATAAACCCAAAGATTAGTTAAATAATTTCAAATGCTATAAGCCCTCTCCCACCACCCTTGCATCTGTTCCTGTGTTTGCTGGGAGAGACCCTACCTGGGTTCACATTTAGCAAAGGAGCTCTTGGAGTCTTTGCCACAGTTGCCGTAAGGATCACCTGCAGAATTTACTCTCTCAAAGCAGATCCCAGGAGCAGGTTTCGCACCTGAAACAAAACCTAATCAGAACTTTCATCTCATACAAGGTGTTTTTAATAATTTTCTTTGAGCTCCACTGGTGCTTTAGGGGAAGGTAGGATGTGATCTGCGTATTGATGAAGCACAACAAAACAGTTGTGCTGGATCAGCATGCTAATTGAAGAGCCTGAATGTGCGGCTTTTCCACTGTTATTTGTCTCTCTTGGCAATGCTGAGCAATAGACAATGCAGAACTCATTCTCTTTCAGAATTTCTCTAGATGATACCCCTCTTGTGAATCCTCTTAGGACACAAAAACTTTTAGCAAATGCCAAATCTAGTTTGGTGAAGAAAGGCGAAGGCCAGCTGGTAAGGTAACTCTCTTCTTTTTACCGGAGTCCACATGATTCTAGTGAGACCCCAAGAGCGGAAGCCAAAGAAAAAAATTTTCAAGAAAGGCCTTTTTAAGTGCAATTCAGAACAAGAAGAAACCAGGAAAAAATCCAGTTGCAAACTGGAGTGCTACATGCCTGTAAAAACATGACCACATGACATGACAAAGAGGATATGCTGCTGTTAGCTCAAGGTAATATACTGGGGAGAGGGAAGGAACCCTTCCTCACCTTAATTCTCAGTAAATCCAGTCCCGAGAGGAAAGACTGACTTGAAAGAAGGGTTGTTTCTACCATGGTGGTAGAAGTAGGAATCTGGGAAGACAGGCAGCATCTTGTTCTTATCTACTGTAGTCTTTCATGATGGAGACATATCCTAACAGCAAAGGAACTTCCCTGGTGGGAGTAGTACTGGAAATGTTTGTGCAGACAGATTACTCATCCCTACATTTTCAAAGTTAAAATGTACTATTAGAACATCTATTCTAACATCTTATATGGACAATCTGCTATCCATTTTCCCCCAGGTTATGACCAACTACTGAATATCTTCTAGGGGAAGATACATGCATTCATCTGAAACATCAAGGAGGTGGATGATCTACTTCCCTGCTTTGACTGTTGCAACAATTAATTAGTCCATGCATTAGCATTTAATCCCTTTGTTCTACTGTGAAGCGTGGCTTTTATTTCCAATAACTGTTGGTCCTTGCAAGATTAAGAGGCCCTTTGTGAGGGCCCTTTACTACCCCATATTTTCTTTCCATGAAGATAACTAATACCACAATCAAGTCATTGCCAACATTTCAACTACTCCAATATGTAGACTTGCTTTGAGGAGACAAGGTGGTAAGGAGATGTACTGGCTAAAACCCTTAACAGATATCTGCTAGGTACATATTTCTACTTTTGATAAATCAACCAAACCAAAAAAAAAAAAAAGAAGTGGCAGAAAATGATGTGATAGCCTTAAGGCTGAAAATATACCATTTCTACAGTGTTCCCTGATCTTTAACAGAGACAGAATATCTGAGTTAATGTCACATTTTTTCAAATGTTTTGAGCTACTTCCAAGTGTGTACGCCTCTAACTGTAGGAAAAACATATCTTTTATTTAAACATTGCTGAAGATTTCATTTGAAAGCCCTCAAAGAGGAAGAAGGTTTTTTTAAAGAAAAGGGGTCAAATTCCTGGAGAAGAAAATACAAATACGGTTGTAAAACTTCCAGTTAGTGTGGATCTTTTCACTAATCACTCAGAGATTAAAGCCTCAATTAATTATCTGCATTTCACAGTCAGAAGCTTGACTAATACTATATACTGCTGAACAGCAATCTAGTGCTATTAAGGACAAAATATTAAATCTTGGAGAGGCTTAAGATGGCACCCTCTTTTCCTTCTAACATTTTTACATACTGAAACTGGAAAACTAAAAAGGCACAGAAGGAACAGAATATGAGCTGTTGGTTCCCTGGAGAGCAGGACAAGAGCTTGAAATTCTTTGGAAGATTACGATCAAGCCCGCTGAGTTCAGAATATTTCTCAAATCTGGAACTATTAAAAGTGATTCACACAGGAGTCTTTCACTTCTTTTCATTAAGCCACAAGCAATAATCAAAAAATCAACAAAAGCATCCAGACAAGGCACTGTGCAAAAAGCAAAAGTAAAATTTCCATTTTCGGCATGTAGATTCCTCCTCATCATTCCAGGGCAGGCATATTAACTATTCAGCTTGATACAAACATTAACATGTGCATATACTATGCCAGCTTTGGAAGGGAAGGAAGAAAACATGCTGTAAGAAAGAGGCCAAGTAAAACTGCTTTTCTCCCACAAAGACTGATTTGCTCAGACCTACCTCGCCAAATGAATAAGCCCCCCTCCACCTCCCATGGTTCTACGTAATTGCTGTGGGTCTCGATATTTCTTGGCCAGGAGCCTTGTGCCCCAACTAGTTCATCCAGTAGCATATCATTGCAATGACTGAAGGCTTCCAGGGAGCTGTGGCAGCAGCAGCCCAGAGCACAGCCACACTTTCCCCAGAGTGGTGTGTGGCTCCAAAAGCTGCCAAAAAGCAAAATGAATGCTCATGTCCTGTGCTTTGACTGCAAATGACCCAACACAGACTTATTTAAAAAATGGTGTTAAAAAGAGAAAGGGCTCACTGAAGTACTAAGAGAGTTTAAGGTATTTATCTTCCTCTCTCACCTGGTGCAATTTTTGTTTGGTTGGTTTTTTTGAATGTAGAAGTCAAGTGTGCTACACATGATAGAAAGCAGCCTGCAGGAAGAAGAACACATCTGCAGCATCCTTGCAGGGCTCAGACAGCGAGCTTTAACTCCAACCAATAACACTTGACAAGAAAAAAGATCTCACGGAGTACAAAAAAATGTTCCCCTGCCAGGCTCAGAGCAGTCTGTGTATGAAAACACCTGGTACCCAGTGATCATCTGCAGCTTGGAAACCAAAATCTAACTTCAATTTCTGTCTTTGGTATCAAACCAGCACACTTTGTTGCTTGGGATTCAGATGGCTGTTCCCTCTCCTGACTGGTTTCTCACAATATTTGGACTTTTTAATAGATGAAAACATATCGGAGCGTAAGAAGCTGAACAGATGGAGCTACCAAGTTAAAAGGAGGTTTGCAGAGGATGCTGAAGGAAGAGAATTGTAATGTTGTGTTTCTGGAGGAAACCCATTTATCATGATTCCACCATATAAACTACAGCAGAAAGTCCTGTCGTTCTCTATTTTGCTACCTCTACAGGCAAAGGCAAAATGATTTGTGAAAGATTTCCAGTGGTTATTAAGTGCGTTGAGCAGGATGAGCAGAGTTTATTTCACTCTGCTATTGATAATTATAGTATCATGACCCTGTAATTAAGGTCCTGTCAGCCTTTCCACGCCAAGCCTTATTCAAGGGATTAAATCAGCTGTTTGAAACTGCAGAAGGTCAAAGCTCACCACTGCAGTTGTCAGCCTGGAGACTTTTTTTTCCTCCAAATGTGTATATTGATGAGCCCACTTCTTTCCCTATAAGGCTGCAAAAAAAAGAGATGTTCTATGCTTTTGAAAGCAATACAGAAACACTGTGTCATTTCAGATCAGTGCAAGACCTGCTGCAATGAGAAAACACCATCACAGACTCCTGAAAAAAGAAATTTCTGACCATGGTGCTGATTCCAAAACCAGAGAAACACCCATTATCAGGCAGAAAGCAGAAAAGAAAGCTATTTCAATTCAGCACCCAACAATGTCTCAAGACCTATTGAAAAAAAAAAGAAAAAAATATGCAGTATTTATGGGTGTGGAGGGGAAAAAAAACCTTTGAGTAACAGACTGGAGTTCTGTTGCTCAGGCTATGCCAACTAGCACTACAAAAAAACTATAAATAAATATAGGCACAAAAATACGGTTCTCTGTCATGTGATTTGCACCTGGATTTTAGATCTCATTAAGGTTGTTTTACTGCACTGATGATGCAAAGTAAACTTTCCACAAGCTCCTCTTAGCCTCTCTCTTCATCTTGGTGATCACTGTTGTTAAGTCTGTGCAAGAGTGAGATGTGGTTGAGCTGTTATTTTTTGCGTTTAAGGAGTATGCTAGCTCTCACTACCTCTAAGAATACGGCTTAATGCTTTTCACATCTCCAAAAGAAAAGGCCTGGCCATAAATATGTGATGATCAAAATAGTTTTATTTTACTGAATTAAAATCTTTCCAATGCTTGGATAAATTAGTATTTTTGAAAAAAAAAAAAAAAAAAAAAAAAAAAAAGGTTAACAATGGTATGGTCAGCTAACTTAGATGGGAAGCCCATCTATTTTGCCTATAGGGTTGTACCTGGAAAAAATGGCAAAGCTCTTACACCAGTGACAGGCCTTTGTAACAAATATTGACATTAAAATTAAGATTGTTCCTGACTGAACTGCCACGTCTATGCAACAGATTAAAGTATGTTCTAATTACTGTCATAATTAGGGCCATTGGCTCCCCAGAGTCATTGTTTTTTTCCCTCTTGGGGAAATGTAGGAAAACACACTGACAAATATTTCCTTTTCTTCCCTAAAGAATCATTTTCTTGTCAATGTAGAAAAAGTCATGAGTCTAAAGCTGAGAATCTTCTATTCCTTGGTAATCAATAATTTTTCTCTATCAAGTAGCTTTATCTTTGTATCTAGTAGCTTCTGGAAAATGCCAATGGAGTACCAGACATTACACAAATACATTACTATCGATGTATCTTTCAGTCACACTACTATCAATAGGTCAGATCAGTGAAATCTGATATTTTTGAATATGAAACAAAAAAGGTCACAAGCAATTCATGCACATTTCTCCTTAAGGATAAAAATGACATGAATTAATGTGAGACAGAGAGTAGAGGAATGTGTGTGTTCTGGGAGCAGACTGGAATGAACTTGGTCTTTAAGAGGAATTAATGGCTATTTTCAGAGACTGTTCCCCAGGTGCTCCTCCCCTCTTCCACACCAAGCTTTCCATGCTATTGCGGACAGGGAATAGCAAAAAATATTCCTCTATTTGATTCAAATGTATCTGCTGAAAGTAACAAAAAAACCCCAAGGAAATGCAAGTACTTTTTTCTGGAAACAGGTCCCTGTTGCTCAGCCTAACGTAAACAAGCTCTGACAGTGCTCATCATTTTTCTTTAACTAGATCTAAAAGTACTAAGATTGACTTTTATCATTGGGCTACTGGACATATGTAACCTGATGAATAAAGACAGATATACAAAAGAATACAATGATAAGAAATTCAATATACTGAAAATTATTTTAAGAAAAGTTACTGTATTTTGTACTGCATGGCTTTCTCCTAGTGGGAAGAAGAAAAAAGGAAGCAATGTAAATGAACTATGATCTGTTTTTTCTTTACAGTATAGAACTTTTAAAATTTTTTTTTAAAAAACTGCACAAAACTATTCCTTCACTCCAAAACATGCAGTGGTTAAAAAAAAATATATATAATAAATTACAACAATTTAGTAAAAGGTTCAATATATCTTTTTGATCTGAAGTTCAGAGACAACATCTTAGAGTGTCAAGTCTCTCTGCTGCAAGGAAGGCTGGAAATAAAGTTTTTTCATCTGTGCCATGATATTTTTCCAACTGCATGGCTCACCTAGCATTCTCCCCATTCCACCCCACATCTGCCAGCTCATGCTCCAACCAGATGTAAGTGGTTTCAAAACCCTTTCAAAATCTTTATCCTTGGGTATTCCCAAGAAAAATAAGGGTATTCCAGTTAAAGTCTGTTTGAGCTCTGTTCTTAGCGAAGTCATCTTTCTCAGAAGCAGACGCCCACAGCCTTGACCACTGGAGACTCCATGCACAGCAGTGCCCGTACTGAATAGTCCCAAGAAGGAAGACAAGAAAGAATTAAGGGAGCCCAGGGGGTTTGGAGGACTTGATGTGTTAGGAAACAGCCCTGGCAAGGGAGATACAGCAATTCAGCTCCCTGACCTTTAGCTGAATTTTTCTCAGCAACTGAAATTTTTAACAGTCTGACCAAGTAACTTTCCATGGCATGGGAAACTGGGTCGTAAGGAGATTTTGCTTTATACAAGAGAAAAAGTCTCTGTATCCAGGGGATTAAAAATCCCAGTATGACTAAGACTGGAGGCTATAATTGTACTTGCCTACATGAGCTCATGTCAACTATACGACACGAGTGGGATTCGGAGGAGTGTATCAGATGCATGGTCTGTTCCACGTGGGTAGTTTAATTTTGGTGTGGAACAACTCTAACATGTTCTTATACCCACATGACCAAGCTAACCTGCTATTTGTATCAGTGGCATTATTTCCTGAGATGCTTAATGCTCTTTAAAACAAAAATTGTGAATTGTCCAAGTCCCTGTGAAGATAACAGATAGATACTACAATAGACCTCTAATGAGGGTTTAGACCAAGGGAAACATCTGTGTGTCATTATATTGGTACGTAAATTTTGAAACAGAGTTGAAGGCAGAGAGATATTGAACTGAAAGAGGCTAGGGGAGCTGAAAAAGTTAGTTTAAAAGAAATAAATAAATCTAGCTCTAAAAAATACTTCTCTTCAGGAGAAGTAAAAATAGTTGTCCCATTTGAGAGAGGGGGTAAGTGCTGAAAAGATGCTGAAGGAGACTTATTCCCAGTGAGTTAGTGCTTGTATTTGCAAAAATATGTTACAAGTACTTGAGTTAGTACTTGTGTTTCAGTGGAAGGGCCACAGGACAGTACAGAAAGGTGAATGGCTTTCCTGGGATATCATCTGTTTTGGATAACCCAAGAGCTCATGCTATGAGATTTTTGCAAAAAGTAAGTAAACTTCCATGGGAGAATAAAATTTCTTTCTGCTTGAGTGTATACTGTGCTAAGAGTACTGTCAGGAGGTAGGCTTACAGGGTAATACCAATTATTAAAATACTCACAATGATACAAAAATCTTACATTAATGTCAAATATTGGACTCTGTTTTGGGATGTAGATATACATACATATTTTGCAGATGAGCAATTTAGAGCACAAAAGGAAGCTTACATACCAGCCTGAATAAGGATGGGATTTTGACTTGCCAAGAGCATTCAGCACTTTGTAGGATGACATAAGGCCATATCAAAGTCAATATTAAGAGATTTGTCTAAGTTCACCGAGCCATTTGCAGCAGTGTTGCAGAATGAACCTAGTCACTGTTGCTCTCTACCTCCTGCTGCAAGAAACGAACATGACTGCAAATCAAGGATAAAATGAATCACAAAATGATTCCCTCATTATTCAGTTTGCCATTTCAGAAAAGAATAGATACAGATTGGTAGCGTATAAAATTCCTCCAAATCACACTTTTTTTTTTTTTTTTTTTTTTCCCCCCCAAATCTACCTCACAAACAGACCTCCTGGTTCTCAATCTCACCTTGGCCCCAGAGGGTGATACACTGCTGCTCGTGGGTCTGGCATATCCCGTTGTAGCAATAGCCGTCCACCCTGTGGCACGCGTGCCCGTCGTGCAGGTACACGTTAGCCGGGCAGTGAGGGCTGGCTCCTGTGCAAAACTCGGGCAGATCACAGGAATTACTTGACTCTCTGCAAGAAATCCCCGCTGGTTTTAACTGCAAAACAAACAAAACCCCTCAACTGCTGTAATTCCAATCAATAAGAGTTATGCAGTGGTATAACCCATGCAGTGCATGAACAGCTTTTTCCACTGGCTCTGCACCAACTGACCACAGAGGACAGTTTAAGGATTACACAGCTCTTTAAATACATTTATTTGACACAGGTTGCGAGGGGTTTGGCAGGAAGGAGGGCCAAACTGAAGTTGCAGCTGCAAACACGGCTCAGGTCAGAAGGTAAATCCAGACTGCTGTGAAGTTTTCAAATATGAATCAAAGTTTTCAGCCTGCCTCCTGCAATCACACCTAAATACAGAGGCACAGAAAGAAGTTTGGGCTCTACTGCACTGACCACAAGTCAAACCAGACACCTTTTCATTCATATGGCTATAACCACACAGCGGTGACCAGGGCACCAGCTGAACACAAAACATGTTATTTGTTATGTTACGGCTCATGAAGCCACCAGCCCGCCTGACTCCGGATTCAGCTCCCTGGGATGGAGGTGCATCTCCTCATGGAAGTGTCGCTCTGTCATGGGCATCTAGGTCTTCAACTTATTTATACAACTAGTTCAGATAACTGTTCCTGTCCTGATTTCCCTGGATAACTTACTTTTTTTTTTTTTTTTTTTTTTTTCAGAGCTGAAGGCAACTAGTAGTTAAAGGTGGAAAATGGCAATCTGAACATTCACTTATTGACAACCACCACAGAAGAGGGGTGCGCTCTGGGAGCAGCACTGATTTTTAACTGCATGCCACAGCGCCTTTGGTAAAAAGCAAAAAGACATGAAGATTGATTTTGCTGACAAGCATTTGCTAGCTGCTTTGATAGCTTGCTGCCACTGAACTTTTAGGCAGATGGTTGCCACAGACAATGGAAACTTGCTGAATGCTTTATTAGCCCATATGCAAGAGATAGTCTGAGAATTCAAGAAGGTGAATGCCTGCAGCAAGCTGGCTTTTTATAGTATGTTAGGAGTCCACAGGAGCTGATGATCTGCCATTAGAAATATATATATATGCTGCTGACAGAATTAGTATTTTAAGAGTTTTCCCATAAAAAGAGGGTCCAGCATTTAACGACTGCTTGCCAGAGCACAACCTCCATATAAGCATGAAAAAAAAAAAAAATCAAAGCATACAAAAGTTCATGAAAAAGAAGACGTTTTGCTTGAGCAAATGAAGTGGCTATGAATAGCACAGACACCATTAGAAAAGTCTGTTGATCTGCTCCTTCTGCAGGAAGGAACTGTTACAATTTGAGAGTATTTTTAATTGCTTACATGAAATGCAAGTGTCTTAATGCTTAACGATACCAACTTGCTTGTTGTCCATCCCTGCTTACTGATCTGCAGTTGGGAAGACTGTGGAATTCTGCCCACCCCACAGAGGTAAGAAATGTTTCCATTGGTTCACCTGGCAGTCTTCGCAGCAAAGTCCATGTGCACACACCGCTCCTGGTTTCAAAGTACAGGTAGTTGCATTGCAGCACCGGTTGGTACATTCCTAGATGGAGGATAAATTTAGAGCAGACAACTTTCAGTCACAATGAGCTGTAAATCAAGAGGCTGCCTATAGCTCTGCCAAGAAAAGCGAGGCATGAGATAATGAATTATGCATGAAATTCTACAACTTGATCCAAACAGTCTTGTCTGTCTTTAGTTTCAACAAGCACAATAATTGTAGTAAAACCAGAGAAGCCATTGAGGAAGGCTGGTTTATTCTAGCTATGGGCCTAATCCCAAATATCACAAACAACTCAAGTATGCTGATAACAATCTTGATGCAGCAGTACAGTGTTTTATTTCCACAAAAAAAATCAGCGGAATGATTCCACTGCCTCCACTGAGGATCCAGGACCTGTGTTGCAGTTACTGAGCATCACGACTACAGCTCTCTCTTTTGTGATAGTTGCTCACCAGACTTCTGTATTGCTTGGAGACTGGTGGCTGCCACAGGGAAAGATGATGACACTATTCCATGTAATCTCTTATCATGGTATGCCAGTAATAGAGCTTTGAGAAACGAAATGAGTATGAACTGCATTCTTGCTAACTGATACATCTCAATTTCACACTTACAGATTAGATGGTGGCTTGTGTGGGCTTTTGCAAACTTTATTCTCAGTAGAACGAGCTAGTAAGAAGTTTCAGAAAATAATGGATTTGTTTTTCCAAGATTATGCTCACAAGCTGCAAGTTACATCAGCTGTGCTGAAATCTCATCTCTCTAACAAAAATAGCAGCAGATAAAATTGCTCTTCAGCTGTGTTAAGTCAGTTTGACTTAACAGGGGATCACTAACAATATAGGGAACACAGGAAAAATAAGTGGGTTAGAATGATGTTCACAGCCTCTTGTTACTTTATTGGCTTTTGTAAAGCTTTCCAACTGGAAGATGGGGCTACCACTACACTCACAAATAAACACTCAGAAATAAAGACCAAAATGATTTTCAGCATTTCAGTGTTTTCTCAGACAATATCTGCCTGAATATACAAAGCTAACTGTGCCGCTCTGAAGTAGTGGAACAACTTGCTGCACCTATTTTTGATCATGCCGGAAGGCAGCAGGCTACTCAAATATTTCTGTGCAGCTGTTACATTTAAGAAGCAACGTTCCTCTGCACGGAACTTTTAATAAATTCACCTCAATAGCAATCTGTGAAAAGCAGAGTGGAGGAAAGCAATGTCAGTCCAATTAAGGTACTTCCAAAACAGTCAGCTCCTGTCCCCCATCATCTGGCCCTACATCAGCCAGCCATGGAAAGCAATCAACATTCCACAGGCAGATTGGGGTAAAGACACAGCTCTTTGAATGATGCTACCACAGCCTGTGAAATTTCCAATTGCTCACTCACTTATTACTCATTGTAGGGAATAAGCTTAGTAAATAGATTTTTGTGTCTGGGCTATCAAATTGTCAGGAATGGTTTTAATATTAACAGGCAAGTAAACAGAAAAGGCTCACAAAGCTTTCGGAGGCTGGAGGCTGTCACCTGAAACTATTGCTGTGTTGTAATTTATTATTATTAGTTATTATTAGTAATAACAGCAATGATGGGAGTTAGGTTTCTAGGTGTAGCTCTCCTGGGCTCAACATCTCAGACAAACACAACAGCAATTCTACCACTACCTACATGACTTTGGATACTGTAGTCAAGACATCTTGTTTTCAACCCCACTCTTCTAAGAACACAAGATAGACCACATTGGGTCAGACTATTATCCTTCTAGCCTTGTTTCCCCCTGACAGCAGCCCACAGAAAATTCTGAAGGACAAGAATGTGAACACACATACATGATACCTTCTCAGCCTCCTGGCTTTCCTTTGGCTCCACGGACACTTTTATCAGCTCTAATCTTCAGCAGAAAGGAACTTGCAAGTAATCGACACAATGTGGGGAGCAGCTCCTTCTGCTTGTTTGAATCCTGCCACTTTCTAACTTTGTATGCAGAGTTCTTGTTGGGGCAATTGCTCCCTACTCACTCTTTCCATTTCACTCATGATTTTGTCAGCTTCTGTCGCATTTTCCTTCGTTTTCTTCTTTTCCTGTCACAGCCCCTCCAAAACTTTGAGCCTCCTTATTGCTTTCTTTCAACCTTTTTCATTCTGCTTTATCCTTCCTGAGAGCAGGGTGGGGGTAGGAAAAAAACTGCACATGCAGCTTCAGACGCAGCACGCTGCAGATTTATAGAGGTCTACTGGTGTTTTGTTTTGTTTTTCTATTTCTTCCCTAGTAATTTCTAACAGCCTATTTACCTTTTAGACCACTCTTGAGCAGAGAGCTGACATTTTCATGAGACTATTTATTGCAATATGAAGTCTTGCTCCTCTATGGTCAGAGTCAGCTCAGAGTCCATTATCTCATATGTGATGTTTGGAATGTGCATCACTCTGCACTGAATCCCATTTGTCATCTTAATGCCCAGTCCAGCTGTCTCAGGAGGTTCCTCTGCAGTTCTTCACAGCCAGCTTTCATCTCTAACGTCCTAACTAATATCATGAGCAAATTTAAGACTCTTCACAGGCTATTTATGAATATGCTGAATTGTGTAGTCACCAGGGCACATCTCATGGATACATCACAGCAGCTCTCCTTCCACGGCATAAAATGGATGATTTATACCTGATTGTATTTCCTATCTTTTAACCCAATTTTCGTCCATGCAATATTCTCTCATCCGACAGCTGCCTAGACTCCTAAAAAGGCTTTGGTGAAGGGCATTGGTCTAAAGCCTCTCTGAACTCTTTACAGGCTGCAGTAAGAGCATCATCCCTTTCCATCCACTTGCTAAGTCCTTCAGATCACTGTGCTATGTTTGTAAGACAAGATTTCCTGGCACAAAAGCTGTGTTGACTCGTCCCTGGCATGTCACAGCTGTTCAGGCACTAGCTCTTAATTACATTTGGAAGTAATTTGTCTGAATTCTGATTTACCAATTTGTAGTTTTCTGATCCCCCTTGCAGCCTGTTATAAAATTAGCCACATGTGTCACCTTTCAGTTCTCAGGGACCAAAGATTTTTGCTTTTTTTTTTTTTTTTTTTTTTCCCCTTCTTCTATCTTTATATGTATAATCTACATTAACCCTCCTTCAACAGACACTGTAACACACCAGACTTTTTATGGTAAAATGAAGTTGAAGCTTAATTGGTAGAATCATCCTTGGTCTGGTCTTACACACTTGGCCTGGTGGTGGGCATGCTGGCATCCATTCTACTCAAGAAGATAACCAACACCTGGTGCACATGAGACTAGTGTGGGTGGAGGTGGTCAGAGTCCCTGCTGCATTAACATTCCCAGGGTTATCTGACAGGTGGGAGCTGTGCTACAGTCATGACTCTCCACCTTCATTAATCCACTGCTGTCCCACTGCTAAGGAATGTCAGTGAGCACAGAGCTCAATGCAGGGCTAATATTTTACTTAAAAGAGAAATATCCCTACCAACCACCTGTATCTACATATTCAGACTGATATATATCAGTCTAGCATCTGTTATTGTACATATTTCCATGCCATATAATACTGCAATACTGTTGACAAAACTCAGCTGGTATAAATGACTGGACAGTGAATAATTAACTAATCTAATGGGTTGTCTGGAACCACTCAGATTAGAGCAGTACATTCCAAATTAATTTAATTGGGACCAGGCTGTAGTTCTCCAATATAATTAAAAAGGAAAAACATAGAAAGAAGAGACAAATCAAGTCGGTACTTGCTGATGTTAAGTGGCTTTGACTTGAAAAGGTATCACCAGCATTCAGAAGTGAAAATGAGAAAGATAACTGGGTTAGGAAGACATTTGCAAGCTGCTTGCACTCTATTGACTTTAAACAAGAAGATAAGCTTGCTTCCAACCTTGTTACCCCGAAGAATGAGTGAACTGTCAGGAAATTCTTATGGCTTGTGTAAATCCAATACACTGTATAGACAGAATACAGCAATATCTCGCTGTTTAACTGCCCCGATCTATTTTCTCTGCAGAACCAAATTTATCACAGGAAACAAATCCCTCATCTGCTGATGTATTTAATTCAGATATTCTGAGAGAAGTTCAATGCAGTCAATGAGCATGGGATGCCAAAGGGATAAGGATGTTGGCTCGGATATTATTTGACCCCCAGGTTTTGCCTATTTCCTCCTGATCTGAGCAGACCTCTGACATGCTCTCTAAACTAAATGGAACAGTTTTTGAAGTAGTAGCAAACTTTTTGAGAAGATGTAAAGGCTATTTCTGTTAGTAAGGTAATTGTCTAGTGGCAAAGAAAAATTTCATGGTGAAGGAGGAAAGGTCTTGTACCTAAAAACTGAAGCTGGCTCCAGTGAAAAAATACCTAGCCTATATTAGTATTTATATAGCTATTTATATTAATATTAATATAAGGCTTCTCATATTCTCATACCTTCAATTAACACATGGTATCTTGACAAATTTGAGCAATGTTAACAAATTTATTTTGAGTTTAGCTTATTAGCTAGTACTTAAGGGAATTTCTGTTAGGAACATGACAGTTAGTCGTGGTTAGTCTATTGGTCAAGCCATGCAAGAGTTTCTTCTCTAATAGTGACTCAAACACAGTCTTAATTAAAGCAACTCAAATGCAAGTCAAGCAGAAACTGCCCGCATTTCTCAGGACTTGCAGTTTAAGCTGGTAAGATAGAAGCAGAGAAGGGAGAGTTTCATTTTACATCAAATAGCGTTAAACATGTCAAACCAATTCTTCACTGTTTGAAAACCTGCAGACAGGGGATGAACAGAAATTCTCAGGTGGTGTCTTACATCAGGCTCCCCGCAGTCACACTCCTCTCCATCTTCCACATAGCCATTCCCACACTTCTGTCCACCAAAGGACTCCTTGACCTCAGGCAAGTTGAACAGACACATTCCCACTCCTTTTTCCAGGCTGTTTTCCAGGTCCTTTCTACTGCAGCTACTGAACACCATGGGAAATGGATAGCTAGAAGAAAAATACAGAGGCAAAAAGAAAGGTGGTATTATCAGACGAAAACATCTCTTTCCTGTCATGCTGGTGACCTCCTTAGCACATCTGTGCACAAATGAGAAGATTGTGTTTATTTTTTTAAAAAACCCTTTAACATAGGATTAAGATATAGCACTTCACTGTAAAACTGAGACAAAAAGATTTATAATAATTTCTGAATATTAGTAAGGGAATTTCCATCTTTTTCACTTAAATTTGTAGTTGCAGTTAGGGATTGGACGCATTCACCTTTGGAATTCCTTCTCCCTCTTTTGCATATGTAGTTATAAAGCAAATTTTTATCATGATCCTAAAGAAATGCTGGGCTTGCAAGGAGGATTCCTGCATTTACAGGACTGCAAAATGTCCTAATCCTTCTTGGAAAATTTAGCCTAAAATGGCAAATTCATTCATCTTGCTCCACAGTACGGCAAACTTCCTATTCTTTTCAGGAAAAAAAAATAGAGAAAAACACCGAGCTACTTGATAAGAGCCTGCTTCTGCAATTCATCAAAGTCGAGCTTTGGAACCGCATGATTAAAGCAAATACAGTTCTTATTTTAAATCAGGATGACTGTAAAGACGCTACTGAAAATACCCATAGTTTGAATTTACACTGCTGAGAGCAGGATTTGGCCCTACTGTGCAGGCACGTAGCGACTTCGATTTACTTTGCAAAACACATGGGCAACATTAGCAAAATGATCCAGCGTAGCACAAATATCACCAGGTAATCTGTGTTTTTCTGCTGGAGGACTTAATTCCATTTTTAGCAATGAACGTTTGCAGCTTGACTCACAGATGTGAGGCAAAGCGGCACCTGGATCTGGCCATCAGAGTCACATCCTAAAATCTGCTGTGCCCTCTCCGCGCTGAGATGTGCACAGAGGTGCCTTGAGTCTGTAGCACAACTGAGGCATAAAGCATCTCCCCTAAGACTTGGTACCTCCCTCACTGCTGCTCCGTGGCCCAGCAGTAATTCAACATTATGGCAGCACAGGGAGGCAACTTGATAATGACTGGACTTTATTCACTAAATGCCTTGTATCACTCATGTGTTATTAGGGCATAATCTTTACAGAACAGCAAGGTAATAGATGGACGTTCTGCACTGCTGAACTTCAGACTTCGATTAATCTACTGTTGTTTCTAATATCCTGAAATGAAAAGCTTGTTTTGTGAATGATGATGCCTATAGGCATCAGGAAGGGATCATTTCTATTAGGAAAAAAAAAAAAAAAAAAAGAAGTTTGACAATTACAAATGCAATAGAGCTTCTATGCTGACATAAGGAGGTTAATTAGGATCTTCTAGAAAGGTTATGGGTACCTTACAGAACAGAAATCATTTTGTGTCTATTTAAAATTACCTCTTTTACAGATTCTTTTGCAGTTAAACAGCCAGCTCATTGGAAAAGAACATAAACGTGACTGAAGAAGAAAATAATTTTGGTATATCACTATAGGACTTGTCTGGTTAAACTAAACAGTTCTGTGATTCATTGACATATGACTTCAGAAAGTTAATAGGCATCTCCACTTAAAAAGCTGATTTCTGGAAAATATCAATGTTTAGGCAAAATGACAGAGTCTAAGATAAATAAAGAGATTTCAGAATAGCATGAGGTAGGAGTCAGGCTGCTAGCTGCAGCTCTGGGCCCCAAGAGAAAACAGTAAAGGTATTCAGAGTAATGGAACAGAAAACAAAGGCATTTGGGAAACCTCCTACTGACCATTCTATATTGAGCAACTGGAGATGTTCTTAACAGAACACCATGAACTCCTGTCTTACTCTTAGTTTGACTGGAAAAGAAAACCCACAAAATTTTGCGTACATGACTATGAAGAAGTACATGAGTGTACACTACTATAAAACACTAGAAAACCATCAGGAAACCCAGATACAGCTGACTGATAAATCCTGCACAAAATATGAATGCTTGATCAGACATGATCCTCATATCAAATTATGACTAAATGAATACTGCAGCATCCAGGCAAGATCCTTCACTTCAGTGACCCAGATTTACGTTGGTATCCACTGAGACAGGGAGACATGCATACCTTACACAAACTGAAATCAATACTAGAACACAAATAACACATTTTTTTTTCCCTGTGCCATATGTCTCAGCCATACATGGATCATGAGAATAGCTCACCAGTAAAAACTGTCAATATTTTAGGACTGTTCCTTTGTAACCATCGATGTTCAGGGTCAATTGTATGAATGTGAGATGTGTCTGTCCATCACTGGGAGAACAGAATCCTTACTCTGTACCAGAGGTGAAATAATGTCATGGTTAACAAATGAGGTTTCTGTTTCCCCCCAAAGGAACTTCAAGCTGTTTCCTATTTTGAACGAAGATATCCATTCATCTTCTGGCTTTTCCTGCTCTTGACGTTGATTTCCTCAGCTGACATCAGTGCAGCACATGTTATTTGATGAAATTTTCTGAAAATACTTTTTCTTTACCAAGTAAGCTCAAAATAAAGCAATGCAAAACCAGAGATGAACCCAACAAGTGAAAACAGAGAGCAACTGAAGGGTAACCACACCATGCAAGAGAAGATCCCACATCAATTGATACCAGTTGGTATTTCATTGGAAACATAATTGATCTTTAAAACTATGGTATTCTGACACACAACCATTCTTAATTTTTTTGACAAAAAAAAAAAAAAATTCCATGTAACAGCCACAGCATTTGATCATTGCGATTTTAGGCTACATTTTGGCTGTCTTTGCAATTTTAAAGCTGTTTCATCAGAAGCATGAAATCCCTGGCAGATGGGAAGGGAAGCTATAGATATCAGATGTCAGTAGCATCAGGCACGATGTTTAAGTGAATCTGGAGCTTGTGAAAAATGACGAAGTAATGGTCATGTGAAAGAAACTCATCCTCTGAACAAATGCAGCAAGCTTCCTTGCATCCTGGCTAACAGGCCTCAGACCTCACCTGGAAGTTCTGTCTGTAGGTGGGAAAAGGTAATGGGGTCTCCACAGTAAAGTCAGTCTTTGTCCTGTCTCCCAGACTTCAGTAACATGCTGAACTGGGATTTTTGTGCTTTCTGTGGTAGCTCAGACACTTATTCTATTGGAAAAACCCTCAGCTACCAGCTCATATAGGCCATTGGAAAACTTTCCAGAGGTAAAAAAATTAATTAGCAGTCAGTATATTCCATTATATTTCACTCAGGACATTTTCTTTTACAGATCTTTATTTTTCTGCAGTTGGGAAGAGAAAAGAAACTTTAGTCCAACCTAATTCCCGTTCTAGGATGCTGACTAGCCCACTCATTTTTCTACACTGTTTGAATGTGTAGATTTAATACACAGTGGATCATTTCGTCAAACTATTCTAGCTGTGGGTAAAACTCTACAGAACTCAAATTGTGCCCAGCACTCCATCAGTCTCTTCAGTGGGTTTACAGAAAGAAAAATAATTTCAGAGTCTTTCTACCCCTCTTGAATCCACAGCACTCCTCGGTGTCTTCTTGGTGCTTAAAACATGCACTTAATCTCAAGCAATGAATATCCTAGTTCCCAGCAAAAATACCTTTGACTGCTCCTGCAAACGAGAGCTTCACAGTAGTAAGAGGATGCCTGGTAATTGATTTCTTCAGAAACAGAGTCTGGTTGGGTCCCATTCATTTATATTTCAAGCACTCAAGCCATTCAAATGCCCGTCTCCTTTATGTAGTTTTGCATTTAGCCTGTATTAGATGGTTTCTTTCACTAACTAAGTGAAGTGGCACCATCACTGTGTCAAGTCCCTTTTAAGAAGAGAGCTCTTTGTACTAGCACCGCGCTGCCCAGCACAGGCTTTTTTTTTTTTTTTTTTTTTTTTTTTGCATGAACTATAAAAGTCCATCTTCATCATCTCCATTTCAGAGGCATTCCCCCTCCTAACGGGCTGAGTAACAAGAGTACAAGCACAGAAACAGAAAAAGTCACTGCCCCAGAAAATTATAGTCTTAAGAGATCAAACAGTCAAAGCATTCAGGAGAAACAGAGTGGCTACCAATTCATGCAGGGTAAGACAGCAGATCATCTATAGACCTAGGACCGGTGCCACCATTGAAGCTGGTGTGACATGTTCGCCATTGCTGTCCATCCCATTGCTCCATCTAGAAAATGCCTGGAGGGGCACTGACTTGGGCTGCAGGAGATCTTTGCTCCATTCCAAACCCTACCACTGCAGTGCAGCAATACCTTGCGAAAGCCATCGGAAGTGGAACTCCCTTGCCTCCCCCAAACCATGTCTATCTACACCTTTACGCGTCTAAACGTTTAGTCCCCTGGATCTACCTGCTCTGTGTTCCTCCACCATAAAACACAACATATTGTGCTGTTCCTCAAGAAGCATCACCAAAGTGGTAACACCATCAATGCTTCTGGCAATTCTTTACACCCTGCACAGGAGGAAAAACTGCAGGTTCACAATATCTTGAAAACTAACATTTTGATTATTATGATTACCGCTATCCAATCTCAGTTTTTTTTCTTATTCATGAACTGTAGGACTTTTACAAAGTAACTGCCTTGTTCTCTCCAAAATGTTGGTATATATACACACATACATTATATATACATATAAATTATATATCTATCTATAGGGTTTCTTTATTCCTGTTCATCTCGCAACCTGATTATTCAGCATTATGACAATGTTTATACAGAGCCTTTTACCAAAAGACCCTGAAGTGTTTTACAATTATTCGCTCAATTAAAATACACAAGAGCCCCAAAGAGCTCTATTAAGTACCACCATGCCTTCATCCCTGAGGTAATATGATAAATGGATATTACTTTAATTTTGAAAGGACATTTTGATTTTCTGGAGCATACTTACTGAAACAACTGTTGACTAGCTAATTTCCAAAGGTGCAGAAAACTGGGACCAGGCTTTGTCCAGAATGCTTGAAAATATCAAGCCTGAGGAGACATACATGGAAACAGCTAAGGTATCAGCT